CTATATAAATAAAGGTGACTTGACTTGACTTAAAGGAGTCACCGGCACAAACATTTCTTTAATCCAAATTCCGCTCTCCGTCAACTGATTCACTAACTCTTCTGTTTTCAAAAACACTACAATAGCCTTATTCATTCGTGATGCTGAGAGAATGTTCTCAAAACCAACCAATTCTCCCACCACCACAAGTACCTCCTCCACGCTAACGCCGGGCTCGGGCACACACCTGCACCCATTTCGCATCGACAGGTGAGGGTTTACCTGTACAGGATCAGACGCCATTCCGTCACGCGACAAAAGCCGCGTGCGGCTTAGAAGTACGAAGAACTTTACAATATAATAATAACTTGACCGAAAAAAGGGGGAAAAAGAAAAAAAAGAAACTGGAAATAGAACAGTTTTTCACGCTCCTTCTAACACGCTCCACTCTTCCCACCACGCTCGCACATGCGCACACACACAGAGAGAGAGACCGAGAGAGAGCCCGAGAGAGAGACGGAGAGAGAGAGAGAGAGACAGAGAGAGAGAGGGAGAGAGAGAGGGAGATAACAGTTATGATTTAGCCTACCTGTACTTTTATAGGGCAGACCGGGGCATGTTGTCACACGTTTTACTCAAATGAGTTCTCTGGGTGAGTTTATTTATTCATTTATTTATTTATTGAAAGCAAATACCGTAAAAATCATCTTTTTAAAGTAAATGCATTAAGAATATCTCTATGCTGCTGAAGGATACAGTATGAGGGGTAAGTTGTCACAGTGGAACCTGCCGTTAACACTTAAGCAAAATATAAACAAAACAATTCACGGATAATTCGGCAAAAGCATATGACTTTTTTTTATTTTTCAATACTCCCGTCTTAAGCACTCGGTTGAACAGTTTATTGTTTGCTTAAATGTTGTAGTTATTGTTTTATTAATCGGATTATATTGCATTTTAGTTTGGAGGACAGAATGAATTAGAATCATGCTAATTTAGTCCGTCTCGAAGTAGAGGGTTTGAAACCAACATCTAAAACGCGTAGTTTTGTTGTGGTCACGAGTTTAATTGCCACTGAAACCTGAGATTAACAGCGTAACTGGCATCATGATTGGTATTTGCATATTATATTATAGTATATTATACTACATTGTGCCTGGCATAGATAGCTCGTCAGGGTGACAGCGTTCAAATGAAAGTGAAAAATGGCTATTGAACTACAATTCAACAAATTCCATGCATGCAAACCATGCAGTCATTTACAAATGAATATTTTATTCACCAAAGCCACCTACTTGCATTTGGCACTGGGTGTTAATGTAATTAAGAAATGAGAAGGATGAATCAAAGGAACCTGAGTTTGTGTTTGCTGGAGGGTGCGTGGTCTTCATCACAGGTGTGGAGTGGGAGCTGGAGGCAGGAGGCGGAGACTCTGTGGTTGTCACGGCGACGCAGTCGAGGCACAATGCTGTGACGGAAGAGGTCAGTGGTGGGTTTGACCAGGTCAAGAGATGAGGTCAGAGAGAGCTTACGACTCATAGTGCCGGTCGTTACTGTAGAGTTACTCTCTGAGGACAGAGAGCGCGATATCAACCATAATGCAGCACGAGGACACAGTCAACAGTGATTTTATTTATCTCTCTCTCTCTCTCTGTGTGTGTGTGTGTGTGTGAGTAAGTGTGAGTGAGTAAGGTGTGTGGTGGCTCACTGGATCTGTCTGTGGCAGATAAGAGCACACACACTGCGGGCCGAGCAGTTTTCTCTCTCTCTCTCTGTGTGTGTGTGTGTGTGTGTGTGTGTGTGTGTGTGTGTGTGTGTATTCACCTTTCTCAGGCTGTATTCTCTGCTGCTGTTTCTGTAGTTGCATTATGATGGTTGTTCTGTGTTCTGGATCTTCAACTCCCATCAGTCTAAGATCATCTTCTGTTAGTAATAGGAGACCCTACACACACACACACACACACACACACAGAGCATTTCATTATTTCATTGAGTAGTTCACCCACAAATGAACATTTCTGAGAATGCACTCACCCTCAAGCTATCCCAGATCAGGATGAGTTTGTTTCTTCATCAGATGTGTAGAAATGTAGCATTGCATCAGTGTCTCAGCAATGGATGCTCTGCAGTGAATGGGTGCCGTCAGAATGAGAGTCCAAACAGCTGATAAAAACATCACAATAATCCACAAGTAATCCACAGCACTCCAGTCCATCAGTTAACATCTGGAGAAGACAAAAGCTGAAACACATCCAGCATTAAGACGTTTTTAACTAAAATACCATAGAGTCCATAATCCATAATAACGCTTCCTCCAGTGAAAAAGTGCATCTGCTGTTGTCTCTCGCATCAAAATCCAGCCACATATTTGTTTAGAGCTGTTTAAACGCTGCTTGATCTGTGCAGATTTCTCTCCTGATTCACACCAGAACACTTTTTCACTGGAGGAAGCTTTATTATGGATTATAGACTCTATGGTATTTTAGTTAAAAAAGTCTTAATGCTGGATGTGTTTCAGCTTTTGTCTTCTCCAGATGTTAACTGATGGACTGGAGTGCTGTGGATTACTTGTGGATTATTGTGATGTTTTTATCAGCTGTTTGGACTCTCATTCTGACGGCACCCATTCACTGCAGAGCATCCATTGCTGAGACACTGATGCAATGCTACATTTCTACAAACCTGATGAAGAAACAAACTCATCTAGTAGTCTTGCTGTGTGACAAATGATTTTTAAAGTAGGCTACACTTTCAATAAACATTGCATGTGTAATAATTGTAAAATAATGTGAAAAATGAGGTTTAATATAGATTTAGATGAAATAGACAATTATATAGCAGAATCGCGTGTGTACCTCGAGGCCGTAATAGTGTTTCTCCAGCGCGCTCGTGTACTGCGGCAGTCCAATCTGTCTCAGCCAGCGCACGATCGAGCAGGTGCTCATGGCACAAACCTGCAGGATAACTCGCTCCATCAGGTCTCATACACAAAACACACAGCTCACAGCTTTATGCATTTGCTGCGGAAAATCATTTTGAAATTTGAGCGAAATAGATATTTCCATTCTTGTTTAATGTTTAGTCTGTACAGTCGATTTTACGCAATAGAGGTGGTGTAAAATGTATGTTTTGTTAATATGCATGCAGAGCAGTCATGTCAATAATGCACTTCAAAATTAAATTGAGACATTCATAAAAAATAGGTTCAGAAAAGAAGTCTAATCTACAACCATTGCTGTAAAGGGGTTTTGAGTTTCTATGCGTGGATTCGATTGTTATATCATTACAGTTTCTCACAGATCAGTTCTTTCGAGCATCAGAGAACACATGTATTCTGATAAACTAGAGAATTGAAGCTATTTTGAGTTAAAGACAACATGACATGAAATGAAACTTTCAGTTCATGTTAGTTCATCTAATGCTGCCAAATTCACTTTTAGCTGTACAAATTTAAAACGTATTTAATTCCTACCTTTTTTATTATTATTAATGTATTTTTTTCTTTATGTTTTAGACCTCAGCTGTCTTCTTCAGTATTGGTGTCCCGATCTGTTGTCCACATCTCTCTCTCTCTCTCTCTCTCTCTCTCTCTTTCTGCGTTTGGGTTCCAGCGGCCCCTGATAGAGGGACCTGAGGCGCTGCGTTCTGATTGGCTGCTGCAGCCGCTGTCCTCTCTTAGCCAATCACAGTGCAGGAATCTCTGCAGGTTGAGACACATTCAGTGTTTCTCAGAAACGCATGGGTTTGTCTCAGAGAGATGAGCAGGTCGAACGTGATTCTATAGTCATTCTGAGGTTGTGTGTTTGATTCCAGGGAGGTGATCAAATATAAAGCTGAATGACTGCGTAATAATGATAATCTGTCATATATGTACATTTGATTATCATTCAGTGGGTCTCTTATAGTTGTGATTCAAGTATTTATAATGCAAAAAGCATATAAAAAAAAAACAAATGCAAAATTGTTCAGCGCCCCAAGCTGTAGTTTCATCATGACAGCAGGAGGTGGCGACGAGTTATTTTCGACTACAAACCACATGTAGCGCCTGGAACCGCTAAAATGAGGCCTAACCTGTTGTTAATGAGAGACCCATCAGCAGTGACTTTCCACAGATGATATACTGAGCTGCTTTCTTCAATATGAAACCTACTGTAAGATACTTGCATGTGCAGAAACAGATAGTTGAGAAATTACTGTAATAGAAGCACTTGTGTCCAAATAAGATTCGCACACGTAATTACTAGATATGTACAACGAAACGCTAGATTTATTCATACAGAGAGGTGATAGTAGGAGGACAAAAACTGGCAAGAACTCTTCAGAATACAAGACATGAATGAACTTAAGCATGAAAGACTCATAAAAACACAAGAACAGAAGAACTGAAGGTCAAGCTAGAGAACTGCTCCTGATTCATGATATTAAGTGTTCTTCTCTAAATCAAAAGTGAGATTTTAATTAAAAAAATACGTTTCTTATGCCGTTTGCCAATATTGTTTCTTGTTTTAAGCATAAGTCACGTTAGACTGAATATTTGAAGTTATTTTAGATAAATATAAACCAAAAAACAAGACAAAAATACTGAATAAGTAATGAATGTGTTGTGAAACAGAGTGTGTGTGTGTGTGTTTGTGTGAGAGAGAGAGAGTGTGTGTGTGTCCACGACATTCTAATTTATTGAGATGCACCTGTATGTGTGTGTGTGTGTGTGTGTGTGTGTGTGTGTGTGTGTGAATTTACATGCAACAATGCACTGCTGCTGCTGCTCTTTGACTGCACATGCTGCGGTTAGTAACACGCATTCACACACATATTACACAGCAAACACACACACACACACACACACACACACACTCTCTCTCTCTAGCAGCAGCATATGCAGGAATATAAACCCCAAATTTTGCAAGTCAAGTGTCAGATGTGAGTGAGTGTGTGTGTGTGTGTGTGTGTGTGTGTGTGTGTGTGACATAAAGGAAAGAGGAAGTTGTGTGCAGTTGAAAGGCTTCCTCCCCTCTGTAGGGTTGCAGAGCAGCAGCGGCGGCGCGGAGGAAAGAACGAGAGACGCAGACGACAGAGGAGACACTCACTGGACATCCTGAAGAAGCAGGAAGACTGCAAAGGTCAAAGGAGAGAGAGGCGCTTCATTGATGAGCTCGCGTTCAGGCGCTGGACACTTTCCAGATTCAAGTTAGATTGAGTCTGTGCTGCTAATTTCAGTAGTTGCTGTGAGGAGAGTTAGTGTTGGGTTTGTAGTTTAACGCCAGGATCATGGACGCATCAGGAAGGTTTTAGGTCACCGAAGGTCACCCGAGGGCCGTCAGCACTGCTATTGAGGTGAGTTTGGAGATGGAGTTGTGGAGACAGTGTGCCGGATGGCTGATTCAGTGCCGAGTGCTTCCCGAGAACCACAGAGTCACCTGTGACAACGCACAGGTGAGCGCTTACCAAGAATCAGCTTCAAACACTAGGAGACATTTTTCAGTGCTTAGGCCAGTTTTTCAAGACTCTTGACACGGTTCTCCTGACCAGCTTGCAGATTGGCACTACATTTAAAGGGATAGTCCACTCAAAAATGAGCATTTTGTCATCATTTATTAATCCTCAAGCTGTTCCAAACCTGTTTGAGTTTTTTTCTTCTGTTGAGTACAGAAGGAGATTTTTTGAAGAATGTTGTAGTCATTGACTTCCATAGTAGTTTTTCCATTGTGTTCAACAGAAGAAATGAACTCAAACAGGTTTGGAACAGCTTGAGGATTAATAAATGATGACACAGTCACAAACTCTTCATACAGTCTCAAATCAGGTCATTTTCCCATTACTTTCACCCAACAAACACACTTTATTATCACTCATAAAACAATTACCTAAAACACCAACAACAGATAGCATTATATAAAGTTTTCTTCTGTAAATTTTCTTTACAAAGCAAGAAATAAACTCTAGAATTCACTGCAGTATCCATGTTTACATTACAGCACAAAATGATTCCTTTATTTTCACCTTTTGTATAGATGGTAATGAAATTAAAAGACTAACACCTGTGTATGACGTACAAATTATTTTTGGAAGATTATTGAAGTAGATAAAGTTTCTAACAATTTCTTAGTGAAAATAGTTTCTACGCCATTTTTTCAGTGTAGGTGTTCAGCAACATCTCTTGTGTTTAATTATTTAGATCTGGGATGTATTTTCAATATGCTATTACTGTAGAAATGTAGCAAATGTGCTGTCTTGTTATGCTAGATTTTGAACGTGCGTTTTGAAAAGAGTTTGTAAATGTGCAAATTCGCCTGTAGGCCAGCTCATTGAGTTTTGGTAGTTTTGTGTCTGAGTGAGAAAAGAGTTCAGCGATTCATAGACCTGATGGTCATGCTGACTGCCGGATCAGTACTGTGAATATCTGTCTGTCAGAAGTGATCTGTGTAGTTTGTCTGTCTGAATGTGTTTCGTGTGTGTTTGACAGGTGTGTGATCTGGCCCATGCTCTGAGAGATGGAGTGTTACTCTGTCAGCTGCTCAATAACCTGCTGCCGCAGTCGGTCAACCTGCGTCAGATTGACCTGCGACCCCAGATGTCTCAGGTACAGAGAGAGAGAGTATCTGTGTGATATGGAAATCACCTGATTACCATCACCAGCTGCTGATCTTAATGGCAAATGAGTGTGTGTGTGTGTGTGTGTGTGTGTGTGTGTGTGTGTGTGTGTGAGAGAGAGAGACAGAGAGAGAAAGCAAAAGTCCAAGCTGAACTTGGCAAACACTGTGGTCACTGCCAGTGTTTTAAGGAAACCTCGGCTGTCACACACACACACACAGATTTGAGAAAGTTTATTGTGTGTCTTGCTGATAAGTTTACAGCACTTGTTTCATGTACAGTCTTACATTGCACTTCCTTATTCTTGGCTTAACTTCCTCCTACACACACACACACACACACACACACACACACACGCGCGACTCAGGAAGTACTTTAAATGCAGATGTATACGCTGTTTCTGCATTTGCTCGGTGTCTCACACACAGTTTTACTATGACTGTCTCAGCTGTAGACAGTCTGTCGTATATTGAGTAATGTAAACTCACAATATATGATACAAAGTCTCTCTGTATGTCTTTCTGTCTATCATTCGCAGAGCTGGATAGTAATTTATTACACATTATCTGGATTAGGCAATTAGATTCCAAAGATTAAATACTTGTAATTAGATTATATTACATTTTAAAGTGCCCATAATCAGATTACAGTTACTTTTTTACAGTTTACATGATTACATATCATTTACACAATAGCAGTAAATTATTCATGAATTACTGATTTGCCCTTATTCTTATTTTTTGTTTCTTAAATTTTCCTTTCTAAAAATCCTACTGCTTATATACACTCAGAAAGTCTTACGAATCTATCGTTCATTCATTCATTCATTCATTATTTCTATCTATCTATCTATCTATCTATCTATCTATCTATCTA